ATGAAGTATAATGATGTATGTCCTGTCAGCTGGCAATTGAACATGAGTAGGCTAATGAGAAAAATGTATATTGAGGTATGTATGTTTCTGTGGTGTTATAAATTGAAAATAATTTCCAGAATATCTCTAGCAACTACCAACCTAGGTTCTGTGTGCTTTGCAGTGCTTTGTTCTTTGGTCTCATGTTCCACACTACAGCCCAAAATGATCTGAACTTCGGACACCTCTAGTCAGGAACAAGTCTGCAGGTAGTTGGATTAGTGCCAGACAGCAAGTTGTGCCTGAGAGGAGGCCCTAGATTTTGCTAGATTTCTCAAATTTAATTTTTGCTATAAAATGCCAGAATGAGACTAGTTACAGCTCTCTGTGATTGGATCCAAACAGGTACATGTGAGATCTGATTTAGCCCTGGGCCAAGGCAAAGCAAAAATTGTCTTGGAACCAAGGAGAGAGTTCATCTCAACTGCTGAGAGCTGGGAGGGCAGGACAGTCCTGCTGCCCCTGACCATGCAGAGGGAGAGCCAACCTCTGGCAAGGAATCTGCCTTGCTCTGCTCCTTCTGTGAGTCCTGTGAGGGGAAATGCTGACCAAACCCATGAGGGGACAGAGAGCAAAGGAAGTGAAGTGATCCAGCTTTTCCACAGCTCTATATATTTACTCCGCAACCTGTTGACATTTTCCTATGTTCAGTGGGCAGAGGTTGCTGAGGCTCAGTGTTTTCCCATCAGTCTGTCACTTCTCTTCCACACTGGGCTGAAATTCCTGTGTGTGCCACATCAGTGGCAAGATGACAGAGTTGAATCTGCTGTAATTTGTAGGTGAGCTGTTAACTTAGATATGGAATATGATGTTTCCTGATGCTCTAGACTTCTTATCCTGACCAATCGTTAGTGCAGCATATTACGGATAATATGTTACAGATGTGCCTACCTCCAGCAAATATCTTGTTCTCTGGAGCTCTGGGGGCAGCTCTTACATGCATGCTAAATCCCAGACTTGCACGGAGATGTCTATTTAAATAAACTTCAAACTTTATGTATCAGTAAGGAACTTTCTGAGCACCCCCAGTGTGTTCCCCTGCCTCTACAGCAGGGAAATGCTCAGGAAAATTTCTGACTGCAGAGGCCATGCTACTGTTATTACCCTGTGCATGTTTATTTTGCCTAGCACACAGACAGTGTATTTGATTTTTAGGAAAACACACACATGTGCTTTGTCTTGCCTCTTTCCCTTTATCTGCTCTGGAGTGGGGAGGTTGAGTGTGACAAAAAGGCCCAAAGAGACCAGACTGGGCTACCTGAGTGCCTTGCACTAAAACCAGCTTGCTAAAGATCTTGGATCTCACTTTCTTTTCATTTTTTTCTCCACCCCTGAGCCAAGGATTCCTGGCAATTTCCATCACATTTGTGTAGGATGCAGCACAAACCAAGCAACTTGGGAAATAGCTTCTGTTTGCTGCAGCCGAAATCACCAGCTCAGTCTGAGCTGAAAACAAATTGCACTTTTCCTGCTCCTGCAGTGGCCAAGCAGTGTTGGGCCATGATCTTTAGAAGTGCAGACAGAGGATTGGTGTTAAAGAAGGATAAGCATCTTATTGAGACATAATAACTGCTCCAAGAAGTGAAACTCTTAATGGAGCTGTGCTGTAGGTGGCTATGGGAAGTCGGGGTGTTGTGAACAGGGTCAGTCCAACCCTGAGGAACTAGCAAATAACCAAGATACACCAGTTTTGACAGAGAAGAGAGAAGAATCCTTCTTTGTGTACACCTGTGCCCGTGAGACAAAGCAGGGACTAGTCATGCCATCAGCCATTCCAGAGCAATTGAGGAAGCCCAGAACCATTAGTCCCTCTATGGCCTGTTATCTGAGTTCAGCACTATCCTTGCAGCTTTACCAGTTTCAAACATCAGCTTTGGGTTTGCTCTGAACCCAAAGAATTTGGTTTTCCAAAAGACAGCTAAGCCCTGTCTTCCAGGTTGCACAGACTGAGGGGGAGTCCTGGAAAGTCTCTAGAAGACTTGCGCCTTTTTAACTCCCCAGCAATCACCTGGGTCCAAGCTATAATCTTGTTTTACTCCCCAGCATTCCTGCTCTGGAATCCTGCAGCAAACAATCTGTAGCTGGCATCTTTCCATCCATGGGCCCTGGAAGTGGTGACTGAACCCAGACAAAATCCTTGCTGCAAGTCATTCAAATGCTTGTGTCACTTGCCAGTGGGCAAGAAAGCTCTGTGGTGTAGCAAGGTTCTGACTCACACACAACAGTCCTGAGGGACTTCAGAGAGTTTGTAACACCTCTCTCTGTGGCACAGTAGATCACAAAGGTCCAAATCACTGCATTCCCAGTCTCATAGCAAATCCCTGCCCTGTTTGGGCAGAGTCTCCGTGGCTGAGCTTACACGGTTAGTGCACCAAAATGCACAATAAAACCCAGAGATGTGAATTTAAACCCTCATCTGTTCTCTTCTGAATACAGAGTTGTCCTAATATTTATATATTTATATATTCAGCTCTCCACAGTCCACTGAAGCTGTTATGCCAAGCATCTCACTAGTGACTCTGCAGCTTTTGGGGAAGCCAACCCCAGCTGACAGATACAATAGGAAAAATACTCTGAAAAATGTAAAAAATTGGATTTTTAAATAGGTGTAACCCAAACAGGTCAATAGTATATTGCTTTTCATGACTCGGTTTGTGTCACCAGGTTCAGAGGTGGGGAAGGGAAGGTACTTGTATTTTGTTAATTATTCGTTAATTAGCCGCGGCTAAAAGGAACAAAGGCCACTGCAAAGCTCTGTATGCTGCCTTGGCAGAACTCACCACACCATCTCCCACAGCCTGAGCACAGGCAAGGACACTCCTTAGCCTCTCTTCCAGGGCTGATCACATGGGTGACACCTTCACTGAAGAACAGTGTTTAAGGGCATCAGAGTGACAGTGGTGTCATTTACTCTGCAGTCAAGATGTACCATTACCTGCAATATTCACCAAGTGAGGGCAGCCCAAAGGGTGCAGCTGGCTGGGGATGTATCAGGGAACACAGGAGAAACTGGGACACTTTCAGCCAGCCAGTCACACCCTTGTAAACCACTTTCAACATCAAAGGCATCATTTGCCTCCTGCACTTTCAGACAGGGCAGTTCCAGGCACAGACCCACCCAGTTCAGTGTCGTTGCCACCCTGCCAGTGCTGCACAGTAAGCCTGTTTGGGCAGATTTACAGACATGACAGTGCAGGTATACAAGGAAAGATGTTTTCTTACCTGCTTGTTGATACATAAAGTCCCCTTCTTGTCAGTGCTTACCGCAGTAAGGCCACATTGTTTCAGGTTACTTACTGTGTGTTTAATGATGTGCTTCCTACATTAAAATGTCAATAGTGATTGAAACTGCATAAAATTAGTCTTAATCCATCCTTCTTTAGAAAGAGAATTAGCTAAGGAATAGAGAAGTTGAGGCAGTAAAAAAAACCAAAACCCTAATCTACTGGGCAGTTAAAATTCGTTGTGGAAAAGAACATTCACATAGAAGCCAGGATCTTGGCTGTCTTGCTCCAGGAACTAGGACCACCACAAGTGACACCAGCAGAACTTAGAACACTATTTTTCTTTCTCAGTTTATGAATACAATTTTTCTCTCTTGGTTTATGGCAGTAAACACTAGGTGCAACAAATGAACCTTATTTTTTTTGTCCTCTTCTAGTTCAGTGGAGATAACACCCCCCTAGGCCACACAGTTTTCTTGAAACAAAGTTACATCTCTGAGAATGGATTGCTACATAGGTGCCATTTCCCCCCAACTCTTCTTGCAGCTTTAAAGTTATCCCACTAGGCACAAATGGTCATTTCTTTCATACAAATCTAAAAAAACCCAGTCCTGTACAGGCCTGACTACTCGAGAGTGCAGCTTTACTTTGGAGTATAGTTTAAAACCAGAGAGTGAGGTTGGTTATTTTTGTTTTCATTGAACAGTTACTGAACAAGAAAGTGAGACTGAGTAGTTTATTTGATGATGTTTCAGACCATAATTGGATGGATTTGGATTATGTTGACCAAAAAATACAGTCTTCACGCTGTTTTACACCATGATCAGTATTGGCCATGCACATTCAACAACAGCACCAGCTTAGTCATCTTTAAGCTGCTTGATCTTATGCTTATGGCGCTCGATTTCTTTCTGCAGACGCTCAATCTCTTTTTGGTGGTGGTGGATCTCTTCCTCGTGGTGTTTCCGTAAGGCAGAGAGCTGCTCCCGCTCCTTTTCCCTGCAAGAGAGGACGGCAGGAAGTGAAGCCCCGCAGCCGAGCGCCGGCGGGAGAGGCCGGCCGGGCCCTGCCCGGGGCTCGCGGGGAGCGGCTCCACAGGCCCGGGCCCCGCTCACCTGAANTCCTGCTCGGCCTCGCTGTGGGCAGCCTGTCACCGGGCAGGGCCCGCGGGCCCGCTCTGGGGGCCCAGCTGAACGTGCTTCCTGAGCGGTGGATGCGTGTTTCTTTAAATAAAGGTGAACATTAAATGTAAATACGTGATTTGGTTCGGCATAGTACTGTGAAGGGTAAAAACTGAACTAAAGAAGCTGTGGTCAGAGTAAAGTGGGCCTGTGCATTTGCATCAGCATCACTTAATGTGTTTAAAGGGCTGCACTGCCAACAAGGGGTTAAAAGTAAAAATGCCGTGGTTTCCAAGGAATCACAGTGACAGAACTGCTGGAGGTGCATGGGGAGGAGGGAAGGCATAGCTGTAGAACACGCCATAGAAGAAACAGGCAGAACTATTCTGCAGTATTTTTTATCATTAAAATATGATGTTGAAAATACTACTGGGCTGCAGGAAAGGATAAAAAATATCTGCTGTTAGTGCCTGTGAAAATAACTACAGGCTTGGGGTAAGCAAGGGGCATTATGAATTGTAGTACATGACAAAAATGACTGGTATACTAACAGCATGGAATAAATAGGTGAGGATGTTGTGGTGGTCAGTTGATACAGATCACTCTTGTTCTTCAGGTAAAGCAAATTGAAAAACGAGACTCTGTTTTAACATCAAAAAACCAAATTGACCGGCTGACCCGACCTGGATCTTCATATTTCAACTTAAACCCTTTTGAGGTTAGTTTGAACATTCTACACTCCTTTCTGAATTGGTGTATGAGCTTCCTGATTCCTGAGTATTTATTCCAGTAAAAGACAACATAAGGAAAGAAAAAAAAATCTCAAGATACAGATTCCTGTGCAGGTGGTTTGCAAAGGACAGCAGGATGGTGTATATGTGCTCACTGTCTTTCTTAGTGTTTGATGGCAGCACAAATGATATTGTCACATTTCCCTCATACAACAGCACTGGAAAATTTGGCTGGGTATTTTCTGAACAGGAAGGTGGTAGCTGGAGATGGCAACTTGGCAGGTTCTGGTCATAGCTCTCTTAATTCAGCATTTCTGATTGTTTATTTTATTTTGGGTGTCCATCCCACTGAACTGGTATAGTGGATAGGGTAAGAAAAGGTCTCTCAGTAGTCACACCAATGAGGAACCATTGGCTAATGGATGCACTTTATAATGTTTGATTCCTGTTGCAGTCAGTTATAAGGTCTTAGTAAGTAGGAAAGCCTGAGGATGACAGTAAATAAACAATATGATATTCATCTGGATTTGGCTTTCCCCCTGGTGTTATCTTTGCTGACTTTTTCAAGCCTCAGGTGCTTTTTGTAGTCCCAATTCAGGGCTGGTCAGCCAGATGAATCAGCAGATTCACTTTGACAATGTTCATTTTTGTATAGGTCTTAGTACTTGAAGACTAAAATAAGAAAACTGTTTCAGAGTAGACTGTAGCTTTCCTGTGGGAGAGTGTTTTTTATTTACAGATTCTTTGAGTCAGACAAGCATACATCTGCTCACTTGTTGCTTAAATCTTACTTTCAATAAATGAATTCACAAAAGAGTTCCTAAACTCTGCCATATTTGTAAAGTTCAATAAACAAGTGGTGTCACTCATGGAAACCAAACAGTAAACCTCTACTGTCTTCTTTCAAAATAATAAAATGAATTAATTCTTTAAAAGTAGTATGTTTCCTGTCCAACGTTCTGAGTGACCTGACATTGTCCCCAAACCACCATATGTTTTGGTCAGACTGAACATTGCTATAGGACTCGTTGAAAGGTGAGACCAATTTATGGATTGTAGCTGTCTACATAAGACTTGACAGTAGAAAGGACACTGGCATAGCCAGAGGAATCTAGCATTGCTAAAAGAGGTGTCACAAATGTCAAAAAGATTGTGAAATGTTTCTGTTTTACTGGGTGAAAATTCATGTTGTTGTGGGGCAAGCTTTCTGGTGTGTGTCTCTGTGCCAGTGAACCAAGTGTTAAAGAATCATGGAATAAGCTGGGTTGAAAGGCACCCATCAGGATCATTGTGTCTGCCTGCACAGACACCCCAACAATCCCACCCTGGGAGTGTCCAAAGGCTTCTGGAGCTCTAGCAGACTCAGTGGCCATTCCCAGGGGAGCCTGGACAGTGCCAGCACCCTCTGGGGAAGAACCTTTCTCTGATCTCCAAATTAAACCTCTCCTGACTCAGTTTCATGCAGTTTCCTCATGTCCTGTCACTGGTCACGAGAGTGAAGAGATCAGTACCTGCCCCTGAGCTGCCCCTTGGAAGGATGTTTAAGAATGTAATGAATTCTTCCCTCAGTCTCCTCTTCTCAGGCTGAACAAACCAAGTGACTTCAGCCACTCCTCATGAGAGTATTAGAGCTTGCTGACAGGAACCTGAAACGTGGAGAGTAGCATCTAACTTGCTCTGCTTTCATTGTCTCTTTTAGGTGTTGCAGATGGATCCTGAAGCCACAGATGAGGAAATAAAGAAAAGATTCCGACAGGTATTCAGCTTTTGCACTCAAAGTCTGTGGAAGGGAAGTAGAAGTGCTGTAAGGATTGTGCAGCTGAGTGTGAGCACAACAAGAATGGTAGTAAAGCTGTTTCTGGGTAGAGGGGTTCTATTTTTGGCAGAAATGCATAGAACAGTGCTTGTATGAAGAAGAGGAGAGCTGCAGCAGTGTCCCTGGTCCAAGCATGATAGGCTGCTTTGCCTCTGCCATGTATGATGGAGCTATTGCAAGCTAATATAGCCATGTATAATCAGCTTCTTGAACTTGAGTTCAAAAGGAAGATCAAAATGTATTTTTCTCAAATATATGGACTTGGATCCAGATTTTCTCTGAAGTTTCTTTAAGAATTTCCATGGTCATTTCTAATGGCTTGGTTACCTGGAAAAGAGGCAGCCCTGCTTACTGGCAGTTCTGCAACACAGGAAACATTATCCCAGCCTCCCTCTGCTGACAGACCTGCAGGAAAAGTTTTGAGTTTAATCAGGACATATAGCAAAGAAACAGTATTTGGAGGGCTGCAGCCTCCACCTGGATTAATGGTGTGAGTGTCTTTAGATGGGAAGATGCTGGGTGGCAGAGGAACAGAATATGGGCTACTCTTGTATGGTGGAAGTGAGAGAATAACCTTTTGGTTGTTGCTGGCTTCTCACTTCTGCAAGATAATAGAGTGTGGTGCTCTCAGCCTTGGACTGGTAAAACACTACAGGGAGATGTTTTGAATTCAGGCTAATGAAATGAAAAATGTGCATGCAATTGTGCATTGAAGAAGTCAAACACCTAAGTGCAGAATGTGGAACAGCCGACAAAGGGGGGAAAAAAGGCACTGCCTGAAGTAAATTTGCTCAGGATTGAAGGCAAACCTTTTCCTGGGAGCTACAAATTGGCAGCTGTAGAGCTCCTAAAGTAGTTATTTTGTATACTTCAGCACTAAAGTGGTTTCAGTTGCTGCTCTGCACAACAATAACAAAAATAAAAGGTCTCTATAAAAAAAAACAAACTAAAAGAAGCCATATGGGGAAAGTTTGAAATAACTTTCTGAAGCAGAATGTGGAGGACGTGGTTTCCAGCCCAGTTAAGGTTTCCCTCAGGATGGTAATGATCCATGTCCTGCATCTGCCAGGTAGAGTACAGGCAGGAGTTTTCTTAAGTTTCAATAAAGTACCCTAAGGAAAAATGACCACTCTTAAAAAAAATTTGGTATTTGGACAGCCTTGGGGATGCTGGAGAACTTCTTGAGAGACTGTTTGAAGATATCTTTTTGTTTATTTCTTGTCAAGACCAAGGATACAGATCTTTGATGGGGTTCATATCAGCCCAGGCACTGCAGCTGAGGGGTGTTAAATTGTTCCTCTCATCACAAGCTACAGCTTTTCTTGGACAGCCTTTTTGTTACAGGGATTGTTTGTTCTGTCAGCTCATACTGGCACATACTTCTGCATGTTGTCAGCTGCTTTGTCCCTGTACAAAGGAATGTGATCTCTTTGGATTCTTTCTGTCTGAGACTATTTCCCTTCTCTCAAAAATCTCTGAAATACTCTTCATCTTTTACCATGATCTTGACAGCAAGATCCTTTTTGTTACAGCTGTCAATATTGGTGCACCCAGACAAAAACCAAGATGATGCAGATAGAGCCCAGAAGGCGTTTGAAGGTAATACTCTCTCTGGGCTGCTCTGGGTTAGTAGTTGCAGATTTCTGGTACTGGTTTAAAAATTCATTAGGGTGGAGGGGGCAGAGAGGCTGCTTCAGATGTGCTTCAGCTGGGGCAAAAGCAGCTGTGATAGCAGCAGCTGTGTGAGGTGGTGGCATTTCAGCAGGTGGCACTAGGTGGCAACAATGGCATTGTCATGTCACAACAGGGACAGACATCTTCATGGGGTTTTGGGATTGTTTAAGAAGAACTGTTTAATCCGTGCATTAGATTTTATTCAAAGACCATATGACATAAATAGAATGATGGTTTTAGGTGTGGGCTTTGCATCACAGTAAGGTGTTCATACCCATTACTACAGCTGGTAGGACTGATGCTTTTACCTGCTCCCTTCAGAAGGTTTCAGACAGTTCCTGCCATTACTGTACCCCAAAACTCATTCAGCTAATCACGTTATCACTTCCCTAGATGTAGTTAATAAAAAAAAAAAAGCCCAGTCAAAACAGACTTCCAAACAAATGACCTCCACAAATTCTAGAAGCCAAATTAGTAATGCCAACAAGCAGCAGTCTTGTGATGCCTTGTGAACATGACTACTGGTGCTATTAATATTGATGCTTTTTGTTAGCTGTAGATAAAGGCGAACCTCATAATGGCATTGTGCAGGTGGGCTCCCAGGTCTTCACAGCAGAAACAAGGCTGCTGTGTCCAGGACTGCTGTTGAGCTCAGTGCAGGATAATTCAGTGAAATTCGGTACTTGAAATAATCAGGTCAGACCACATGATCTGACCTAAATATTTTTTTCTGAGTCTGTGAATGAATGATGCAGTTCAGATATGTGTAGGTGGAAGAGAATAGGTGGTGACAGTAGGAGACTGGGAAGTTTGGGGAAAACTGACCTATAAGAAAAGGAGCTTGGATTGCATTGGCCAAGAAGTTAGAGTGATGTGGGTGGATTAAAACACAGAAAGCTTGAGGAAGATATGGGAGATATCTCAGATGCTCTTAACACAAGGAACACTTGCAGTTATGTTTGTTGTTAGTCACTTGAATATCACGAAGCACAATAAACTTACTGCTGCTTTGGATGGTTTATATTGAATAAGAATGTATCTTTCAAGAAACCAAAAGAGATTATGTTGAAGGAATAGTATCCAACACAGTATGGTTGATTACTACAGTTCATTCTTGTATGTGTCTGGGCCTAGGAGGGTTTGGTGTAAAACAAAACATTAATCAAGAACAGAGTTCTTTCAATACATTGGAATAGGAATGCAGAACCAATTAGATACAGTTATGTAAGCCCTATAAAATTTTTAAGGCTCTTATTTTTGTTCTTAATCTTCAGGTGAAAGAAAAAAAGAAGCAGCTGAAGAAGGATGGAAAACCTCCCACTGTAGAGGAGGATGATCCTGAAGTTGTAAGTTGTACTATGTTCAGAGAAACTGGAGAGTTTGAGGTGTGTTTTGAGGAATTAAGATTCAAAGCCAGTACAGAAGTACTTATTAGACTTGTTAATGTTGTAAACCCTTACATTTACAGAAGAACAAATTCTGCTTAGCAACCGTAGAGTATCACACATCAGGTGATAACTGTGTACTGTGACAATTGGTTCACTGTAGTTTAAAGAGTAAATGTATTGTGAGATTATATAGCTCAAAATACAATACCTGTTCTTTTCTCAAAGCAAGTCTTCATTGCCTGTGCATCATACACTCTTTTTTGAATGGAATTTCTTGTTTTCTGACTGCTGGAACCGTGGCATTCCTGCTGCTGGCAGAGGAACCTGTGGCACTCACTGCAGCGTGGCTAAAATGAGCTTGTGACTAAGAGTGGTTTCATCTGTTTTGTTCATGTAGCACTGAGGGACAGATTTACTGTTCTGCAACAAACCACTTGTATTAAAAAGGGCATGGCATAACTTAGTTCTTTTTACTTGGGTTCTAGTCTGGAGAAATCCAGTGATATGAGAGATATCTCAGATGCTAACACAAGGAACACTTGCAGTTATGTTTGTTGTTAGTCACTTGAATATCACGAAGCACAATAAACTTTCTGCTGCTTTGGATGGTTTATATTGAATAAGAATGTATCTTTCAAGAAACCAAAAGAGATTATATTGAAGGAATAGTATCCAACACAGTATGGTTGATTACTACAGTTCATTCTTGTATGTGTCTGGGCCTAAGAGGGTTTGGTGTAAAACAAAACATTAATCAAGAACAGAGTTCTTTCAATACATTGGAATAGGAATGCAGAACCAATTAGATACAGTTATGTAAGCCCTATAAAATTTTTAAGGCTCTTATTTTTGTTCTTAATCTTCAGGTGAAAGAAAAAAAGAAGCAGCTGAAGAAGGATGGAAAACCTCCCACTGTAGAGGAGGATGATCCTGAAGTTGTAAGTTGTACTATGTTCACAGAAATTGGAGAGTTTGAGGTGTGTTTTGAGGAATTAAGATTCAAAGCCAGTACAGAAGTACTTATTAGACTTGTTAATGTTGTAAACCCTTACATTTACAGAAGAATAAATTCTGCTTAGCAACTGTAGAGTATCACACATCAGGTGATAACTGTGTACTGTGACAAATAGCTTCACTGTAGTTTAAAGAGTAAATGTACTGTGAGATTATATAGCTCAAAATACAATACCTGTTCTTTTCTCAAAGCAAGTTTTCATTGCCTGTGCATCATCTGTTCTGCAACAAACCACTTGTATTAAAAAGGGCATGGCATAACTTAGTTCTTTTTACTTGGGTTCTAGTCTGGAGAAATCCAGTGATATGAGAGGCTGTAACAATGATTGGTTACAAACACTGACTTCTAGTCTCATTGCCCTTTTTTTTTCCTGGCAAGTGAGTTCTTCCTGTTGATATCACCACAGTAATCCCATAACCATCCTATTTTTCATTTTTCAGAAGTCTTTTGCTGTTCTTTAGTAATGAAGATTGGTTTAAGCATACTGATTTCCTACTGGGAAGCCAATACTAGATTTTTACAACACATCAAGAAGATCTGCTGGAAAATTACTCTCTAAAACAGTGACCATTTTGCCTTTTTTTTGTCAAATGTAACAATGCAAGACTGAACCCGAGAATAAGTTGGTTTGAAGTGAACAATTCTGTTAGGCACAGCCTCATGAATACAAATTAAAATGACACTAATGTGAGGTTAATATGCTATTGTTAACTGCTGTCAGGGCCAGAATTTAATCAGCAGTGGTTTATGCCTTTCTTTGTGCTGCTGCTATTGTCAGGGCAGGATAGGGGTTATGTGGGCACACCTCTGGTTTGCTTTCTTCTTAGCTTACATTTGTATGTAAAACAGACTTTAACTGTGTTGATGGGCATTATTTTAAGGCTGGATTTGTGTTTTACAGTTCAAACAAGCTGTATACAAACAGACAATGAAGCTCTTTGCTGAACTGGAAATTAAGAGGAAAGAAAGAGAAGCAAAAGAAATGCATGAAAGGTATAAATGATGTTCCACTCGTGCAATTCAGACTCTTCTTCCCCCTCATGTTTCCTCAGAAAAGATGAGGGATCAGAGAGTCTTAGAATAGTCTAAACTGGAACAAACCACTGGAGATCATCTGGTCTGACCTGCTGAAAGCAGAGCCTTGGCTTAGATTAACAAGGGTCCTGTCAAGCTGGTTTCCTATAATGTGGATTCTGCCACCTCTCTGGGTATCCCGTGGATTGTAGAGCCCTGTGCTTGAGAAAAGCACACAGAAAATTTTCCCTCCTGTGTTGATGTCAATATATTTTATATGGTTGTATTCTCTTATGTGTACACATGGAAGCCTGCCACAACAGTGAAATGGTAACACAATTCTGCATGCTATTATCTTGCAAAGGATTGATTTTTAATTTTAATTTGCTGTGGCATGTGTGATCCTGAGCTATCTCAGGTGTTTTGATCACATGCCTCCAGCTCACTGCAAATACACTTCCTGCAGCAGGGTTCTGTGCTGCTCAGTGAGGTGGGAGATGGCTGCAGGACATTGTTTTTGATTACAGGTGAAAAGTAGAGGTTTAAAAACTTAATTTGTACTTTGCATGCTGAAGTGGTTATTAACTTCTCAGAATGTGTGCCCTCAACAGTTTTAGAGATTTACCACTAGAGTGATATCACCTTCTTGGATGAAGAAGTCCAGTTTGTTTTGCTGAGCAAGAGAAGCCAACTCCTTAATTGTATGCTTGCTCTCAGTGGGGCCAAACCATCTTCTCTGCTCTTCCAAATTTGAAACCAAATTCTATTTGCTGTGCTATCTTAGGTGTGTGTATTTATCTCTTCTGTAATCTGGCAAAAAATTAGGAGGGCTTTCCAAGATGTTTTGAAAGTATTGCCTTGCTTTTTAAAGTGGATGCTTGTGGGTTCATAACTTTTGTGGCTTCCTTCTAGGAAAAGGCAGAGGGAAGAGGAAATTGAAGCACAAGAGAAAGCTAAACGAGAACGGGAGTGGCAGAAGAACTTTGAGGTATTCAGCAGTTGAACTTACAGAATAGGCCTCAGCAATTCTTGTCCATGTTGCAGGGAATGCCTCTAGAGAGATGAGAAACCTTTTGTATGCAAGTCTGTAAGATAATTTAATAGATCTGCACCAGCCTGGGTTTTGTTCATGTGTGTGGAGAAGAACCCATCAGTAGGGCTTTGTTATCAACTGTGCAGGAACAGGTCTGGTAAATTGAGGTATACTATTTTTCATCTCTATCAGCAGTTCATTCTTGTCATTATTTGTAAAATAGAATTGCTGCTTAGCCCAGGTCACTGGTGACCACCAAAACTTAATCTAGAAAGTGTTTGTATGGACTGTTGGTGATACTTTTTTCCAGTCTGGTTGCCCCAGCATCCAGATCCCTGCTATGGGTCAGCAGCTGTAGGCTTTTTTTATGGGTTTTGTTTTGTGGGTTGGTCTGCGTTTTGTTTTGTGGTTTTTTTTTTTGGAAAGAAGTGCACCAGAGGCCTTTTTTTCTCATAGTGTCAATGTGATGAGACTTTGAGCAAGAAGCATGAGAGAAGGCAGCAGTACATTTCCCTTCTCAGTTCTCCCTGCCTCCAATCTGCAGCACCAGGAGAGTGAGTGAGGAGTTGAGCCAGAGAAAGGACATGGCACATTCTGGGCTGACAGATCAGGAACATCCATTTGAGAGGTTTCTTGTTTCCTTTGAGGATTCTGTAGAGAGTAAGGACTGCCCAACCCAATCTGGTGGTTTCTAAAGCAAGAATCCAGCATAGTCCTTCTACTGGTGTGTAAGCTCACTTGTAGTTGCAATGCACTGTGTTGCTCTGGCTCTTCCCAGTGTCTTTGTGTCCTGGCTGTCAGGGACTGCATGTTGGATAAGGGGAAATTGCTACTGATCTCTTGAAACTGGTATGTACTACCTGTGCTTTGGCTCTTGCACTTGTTAATTCTCCACTTTTCCTCCCTGTTGTTCCCAGGAAAGTCGGGATGGTCGTGTAGACAGCTGGAGAAATTTCCAGGCAAATACAAAGGGGAAGAAAGAAAAGAAAAACAGGACCTTCCTGAGACCTCCCAAAGTAAAAATGGAGCAGCGTGAATGATCCTGGAAGCACTGCCCATGTGCAGCTCCTCAAGTCCCTTCTCTGCTTTTAAGGACTCATTGGCACCTAGAGTAAGATTTGCTTTTTAGTAGACTGTTTGTTTCCAGTACAATTAATTATCAGTCGAAGTATTTTTTGTACTCTGTTTGAAATAGGGCCAGAGAATGACCCCGGCCAGGGCCCCGCTACACGTAGAACACTTGGCTTAGGAGAGTCCCTGCCATTCCTGCTGTCCCGTGTGTCTGCTGCCCTGTAACTCGGTGTTTTGTACTTCACAGAGACTGTGCTGTTTCACCACTTCTGTTTCTAGTTTGAGAGCTGAACAAAATATTGGAAATGCATCCAAACCCTTCCAGGAGCCATCTTTCTCAGCGAGTTCAGCTTGGGAAAGATCTGGACTGACTCTAGGAATATGCTTCCAGCACTGTGTAGTGCAGCTGGCCTGCAGTTAAGGCCTGCAGCTTCTCACTGCATTGAGTGGTGCGTGGAAGGAACCTGCCCCCAAGATCTGATTTCCAAACTAAAATCCCAGCTCTCAGGCTTAGACATCTGTTAATCTCAGACCAGCTGGTCAATTCTTATAAAGGAAAATAACTTCTCTTGATTAATAGTTAAGCTGCAATGGTCTGTATGTAAAATAAATTTTTACCCAAATTATCGGGTTTTTTTTCTTTGAATTATTAAAAAATACAATAGTGTGAATGGAGTGCTGTCACTGAGATGCTGTTGCTGTTCAGCTTGTTCCCCAAGCTCAGACTGTGGTGCCAGCTCTCCGCCTTTCCCTTTCTCCACATCCCTTTTAAGCTGCCTAAGCTGTTCCAAGTGTGGTGTCACCAGCCTGACACAGAGGGGACATTAACTGTCCTCTGGCTGTGCTCCTGGCAGAGCCTGGCTGCCTTAACTCACAACCTGGCTGGCACCCTTCTCTGCTGGGAAAGGCCGTAGTTAAACTGGTGCAGCTTGGTTCTGTTGGGATGTTTGCTGCAGCTCTGCAGTTGGGAGCTCCAGAGCATGCATCCAGCCAGATCCTCACAGCAGTGCTTTGTGCACCTATGGGTTGTGACAGTCTTGCCCTTCAGGACTGTCTTAAAAGCCTCACACTTCCTTTCCTGCCAAAATAAGAGCCAATTCTTACCAACAAGGAAACCCCAACATTATTTCCTTGTTAAATAACCCATAGGGCATGAAGGGAGCAGACAAACACGTGATCTCTTGTTATGAGTGACTCAGGTGGATGCTGTGCCCCTGACCTGAGTGATAGCAATGCCACAGAATATGTTGGGGGAATCCCCATGTGGAATCTGGGCAGAGCAGTGCCAGTGGCAGCAGGAAGGAGTGGGTCCCACATGTGCCCAACCACCCTTCCTTCCCAGGCTGAAGGAGCACAAGGACCAAGGGGGGCTTACAATGCTGCAGGAGGGGTACAGGGACGAGCTGCTCCTGCCTGAAGCATTTGCTGGCTGATGTTTTCTGATCTGGGGACTCCCACAGCAGAGCAGTGCCCTTCCTGGCACTTTGCCCAATGAATGTACCTATCATGGAAGCCTTGGAACAAGTAGTGTGCTGACCCCAGGCTCTGGAAGGAAATGAGGAGGACAGATCTGGTGAGGGTACTGGCCCCCCTCTTGCTGAGCTGGGACCACCTCTGTGCCCCTGGCCCAACCAGGGAGTGCCCCTGCCCTAGAGCTGCTCCAGGGCTGGGGTACCCCATCTATGGCCAGTGAGGCACCAGGTGTCATAGCAGTGTGACAAGCCCCTCACACCAGTGGAGCCTCAACCACTGTGTCCCTTCTGCTGCCTGCCCAAGGAAGGACTACAGGAACTGATGTCAAGCTCCAGGGTGCAGCCAGGGCACGGCTAAGCATGTCACAAGTGCCAAGAGGGGAAGTGAGTCACTCACCTGGGAGCCAGCACAACGCCCTCTTTCCTGTCAGAGCCTCTTCCCAGGCAGGAGCGCACACACAGCTCGGCCCTGCTGGTGTCTCCACTTGCAGCACACACCTGGTGGGCTGGGGTCTGTGACTGAGCTGGAGCAGGTGCTCTGTGACCCCAAGGTAAGATGTTCCTTTCCCTTCTGCTTGCTCTCCACAAGCTCCTTCTATGTCTGGGTAACTCAGGCCATGGGCTGGGTCTGAGCCACAGCATCTCTGACAGGGCCAAGGGCTTCCGAGACATCTTCATCCTCCCAGCATGGGTGTGGGAGTGATGTGATGTGCATGGTGACACCTGAGTCAGGCGGGTGCTGCTGGTGCCTTTGGGGCTGTGGGGAGGGGGCTGCTCTCACCCAGGTCCCATTCCACCCCTGAGCGACAACAACCCTGGCTTTGCTTGGATGCTGTGAAGCAAAGTGAGGGGCCCTGCCTGGACCTTACTCCTGCGAGGAAGAGGAGGGAGTGCTTGGAGCCTCTCAAGGAGGCCAGGTCCTCATGTCACTCATGCACAGCCCCTGGCTGGGCAGGCAGCTGTGGCAGGAGGTGTCTCACTGCAGTTGAGGGCAGCAGGACTGCTGCCCAGCTGTGGCAGCTCAGGCAGGATGTGGCTTTTGCCTCCAGCAGAGCTGTGACAGCCTGGGGCTATTGAACACAAATCCTGAGGTGGCCCATGAACTCACTCTTCTGCCCAGTACAGCAGGGCTGGGCTTGGGAACCAACTGCTCTGCTCCCTGCCTCACCCCCTAACCCTGTCCAGCTGTCCAGCTACCAGCAGTGACATTCTCTGCCAGTCTGTCACTCCCTGTGGCGCAGCCAGCAGCAGAAGCCTTGACAGCTGTCAGAGGGTACCCAGGGACTGCTGCTGCCACTGTCCCAGGAGTGGCTTCTGGCCAATGGCTTGGTGTGTTTTCCTGCTGAGCAAGCCCAGCTATGGGGCACATTCCTGCAGGGTTGGTAACAAGGTGGGGACATGTGCTCAGCTCTGAAGTACTCAGGAGAGGGGAAGGTGAGTTTATTTAGTGTTTCTTTCCTGCAAGGAGCAAAAGAAAATTCTGTGCAGTGTTACGTGAGTAGTGGGAACTCACAGACAGTAACACTCAGCACCAGCTGAGCGTGTGCTGCAGCTCCAAAAGAATTTCATGGTTTTTCAAAGACCCATCCTGGCACACAAGAATGTGTCCTGGGGACTGGAATCGGCAGGGACCAAGCTCATGTGTGTGCCAGTGGCTGGTGCTGTCACAAGCTGCATGTTGGTATTTCATCTTGTCCGTTTGCTACTGACAGGGCAGTCACAGACCCACCAGCTGCAATGCTGCTCCTCCTTGCAGAGCTCTTTGTCAACACAGTGTAGCTTGCTCTTGGGAAGAAATCTCTGGATATTTGCTTATAAAACAACTGGTTTCTGATCCCTCCAAAGTTTATACGTGGTTATCCAAAGCGAGCGTGTTCCTAGCAGGCTACCTCTAAGAAAGAAATGACCACAAGGACATGTGCCAGAGGCAGATGGGGCTTACAGGAGGCACTGGGCACCTGCCTTGGCAGCATGTGCTGCCACGAGAATGCTGCTGGGTGCCAGACCCATGGGCAACAGCTGCTGCCCACCAGTCAGCCTGTGTGGGATCATCCCCAGAAAGTGGAATTTGGAACAGCTGCTCTGGGATCCAGCACGTACAACATGAAGGACTATCAGCTCTCCTTAACAGCATCTACGGGAATCAGAGTAAAAGAAGTTTATTTTTTATTAGGTTGCAAGTTAGCCTGATGATATTCATAGGCATATTCAAGATTGTTTTTTTTTCTCAACTTAGCCTTGCAAAGCTGTCAGTGTCAGCCGGTGTGTGCATTCCCTGGGCGGGAAGAGCAGGAAATAGTGTCTAGCACAGGGCAGTCAGACTGCCAGGAGTGCTGAAGGAGCCCAGCCTCCACTGGCAAAATCCATCTTAATATTGGAGTCAGTTACATGCTCAGAAATCGGCAGCAGGGCCAGGAGAGAAGGAAAGGGGCTCCCAGGTGGGAAGGGAGTAAAAGGGAGGAGCTGCCTGTGGGAACTGTATGGGGGCAAAGGGACCTGCTGATGCACAATGGCCATGCTGCAGGGCTGAGCAGAGGAAGGATGAAGACTTCTGAAGCTTCCTCCTCAGCCCAAAACCCCCTGGGCTTTCATTTCCTCTAAAGGCTGGGCTGTGGCAGGACAGCAAGCCAAGATTTGTTAAGTGTTGCCACATCCCCTGCGAGCACTCCCCTTGTCCCTGACATTGCTGGTTGCTCTCCCCAGAGACTTGGACTGGCTGTCAGCCAACCTCCATAGCACACTCTTGTTTGGTTTGAAGTTTAAACCCCCAGGAACAACCTAAAGGGCAGAGCTGGGGCTCTGTCTCATCCATGAAGGGTCAAGTTCCTTCATCCTTACAGCAGCTGATGGGAAGGGGAAAGGAGGGAGGATGTCTGGCGGCAGAGGGAAGTGGCAGCTTCCATCCCAGCACAGCTCTGCAGCGTCACTGCAGGAGCCTCAGCTCTCCCTCGTGTGGCTGGACAGACAGAGCTTGGCTGTCCCTTGCTCCTCATGCCAGCCCCGAGTGCAGCCCACCCTGCCAAGGCTTCCATCCCATGTGGTGCCATTCTATGGGGCTCCCTCACATTACAGGGGTTCCACTCTGCTCAGGGGGCTTCCAAATACCTTGGCCACCGTGTGCTGTGGTGCCAGCTGTGGTGTCCATGGACTTCAGGTTGTCTTGGAGTTCTCCCTGAACAGGGTTCAGAGCAGCAAGATACGGATTGTCCTGCAGTTTGGAGAGCACTTGCACATCTCCAGCTTGGCTGGAGCTCACCTAGGGATCCTGGGGGCTGCCTGGCACCTGGATTACACCTTCAGAGCACTGTGCTGAAGTGCACACCAGGTGTTTCTCTGTGTAATAGCCCTGGGAAAGGTCACCTGCACTCTCTGGAGAAGGGACAGGGAAGAGCCAATCCAGGCAAAGAAGCCCAGGCTGGTGCTGGGGCTTTGCCTGCCCCTGGCTGGAGACATCCAGGCACTGGCACAGACAGTGGGTGGGTTCTGGCATGGCAGCCTGGTACTGTGCAGCCCAGAACCTTGGGACTCCTGAGACCAGCTGAGCCAAAGGCAGCACAGAGCAGCACTGCTGCTGTCCACCTTGGCCCCTCTGCCAGCTGTGAGCCCAAGCACCAGACTCAGGGCTCTGGCTGCTGTAGGTGTGCCAGGTGAGAGGTCTTTGCTCTAAGCTCACATCCGTGCTGCATGCAGATGTAAGAACAGAGGAAGGCACAGAGGGCAGGTTAATCATCGCCATGGGGGGACAGCCTGGGATTTACAGCTTGGCTGAGATGTGTGTGCAGCTTTGCTTGTCAGTGGTGGCTCTGAGCACCCCACCATCAGTGTCACCGTTCTGAGTGAGCTTCAGGCTCCACAGGTAACAGTGGCCATAATGTGATGGTGTATGGGACAGGTAACAATCTGCCCTGCTGTGCTGTCTCTGTCTGCTGATATCCCTGAGATAAAGGGAGACTTGGGATGGTGGAATCCCCGAATTAGTTCCAACACAAGTCTGAAGGAGACTACTAGGAAATGAGTCTGTTCATATATGAGTTTCCTATCTCTTCCTTTCCTGAAAGTTATTAAGTGGCTGCCATTCATCTGTTTGGGCAGAAGATGCTCAAAAAGTTGTCTAATCCCAAATCTAACTGGGGACACAGAGTGAATTTCTATTCTGCCTTTAGAGGAAAATCCCAATCTTGCCCTCTTTCAGGATCATCAGAAGCAGAGATACTCTGAGGAAAAAGCCTTAAGGACTTTCCAGACCTTTGCTGTGGCTTTCTTTCCTCCACAGCTTATTTTATTTCTCATTTCCTTTGCTGATGTCACACATTTCCTCTCCTCTAGTGACTCTGCAGTCATGCTACAGTTGCTTGCATTCTGGTGCCCTGTTCTTAAGAGCTGCCAGTGTGGAGACTGTCCAGCCTCAGGGACGGGAAAATAACATCTGGGAGACAACCAAGCATCCTCAGTGAAACCCCCACCGCTACTAAAGCTGAAGATGGACATATTGTGCTGAATTTTTTCAACTCTGGTAAGTAGAAAATATACTTTGTATATTTGTGTCACTACTGACAGGGCAGTCACAGACCCATCAGCTGCAATGCTGCTCCTCCATTTGCACTCCTTGGAGAGCTCTTTGTCGACACAGTGTAGCTTGCTCTTGGGAAGAAATCTCTGGATATTTGCTTATAAAACAAATTTTATTCCTTAAATTCCTTATTCTTCTTAAAACAAATACATTCCTCTTGGAATATACACTTGCTGATGGCAGAGCTTGCTTGTCTTGGTAAGCCAGTAAATCCTGCCTGGGAGGGCACATGGCAGAGTCTGTGGACCGGGAGCAGGATCAGCAGGTGCTCTGTCCGTGTTGGTTACTTCCACCTTCAGCCCTGCATCCAGCGAAGCTGAGGGTACCTGGGATTCCTGGCTGGGGGACTGTGGAAAGGCAGTGGCTTGGGCTGGAGGTCTCAGGAGGTTTGGCCAGGTGGCACAAGCTACTGCAGCAGAGAGCAGGACCCACAGCCACACATACCTTCCCTGTGGTGCCTGCTTGCCTTTCTGCTGGGACGGGCAGCACGAACAGGCTTCAGAGAAAGGGGAACTGCCTCAGCAGGACAGGCTGAGGAGCCCCTGCAGAGCGCTCTGAGCCCGGGGCTCAGGGCATTCACAAGCATATGGAGACATGAGCCTGGGTTCCTCGGGCTGAAGAGAAAATTGGCCATTGGGTAAATTCCGTGGGGAATGGTGCTATGTTCCCTTCTAGCTGTGCTCAGCAGAACATCTCACTTGGCTCATGAGAAGGAAAGGACACCTCTCTCGGGATTCCCTGCAGGACCCTGGCGTTGGCACAGCACTCCTCCTAATGCAAAGATAGATGAGTTCTACCAGGTGGTGCTGGGGCCAGGAGATGGCACTGCCATGTCCCACAGAACACCTTGAAATCTCTTTGCCAGAGATTTCAGCAGACTGGAAGCAGCCACAGAGCATGTTCTCACACCCACCTCTCCATTTCAGAGCACTGCCCTGTGGCTCAAGCCCACCTGTGCAGCCTCTGCCGTGGAGAGGACCTGCATGTTCACTCTCACTTCCACAACATCTGCTAAACCTGGCAGTCTGCAGACAGTAAAGTGCACCAGAGCTCCTGGGCAAAGTTTGGTGGCCACCATCCTGTTGTGCAGAACCAGAAATGGAGGTGTGGGTGGACAGTGCCCTGGGGCACCATCTGAAGGGACTGTGAACAACAGCTGTGCCCAGGTATTGGATTCCTCATGAATCCTGCCAGAGATGCATTACCTGGTTTTATCCCCCCCACTCTTGGTATGCTCAGCTCTGCTGCCACAGGAATAGATCAGCTTTAATTGCAAAGCTCCCAGCCCTAAGCACCAGAACTATTTGCTGGTGTTGCAGATAGACACAGCAGTGTGAGTTTATGATGCAGATTTGGAAAAAAAACCTCAAAGTTCTCTATTGATCTTAGGTAATTAGGACTTCTTGGGATTTTATTCCTTATTCTAATGTCAGACTAGTGCATCAAACATTACACTCCCTGTGACTGAAGGTGATAAAGATGAAGGTGAGTGAGGAGAAGTACATGTGTCACCTGGGGCCAACTCCCAGCACTGCTGGGACTGTGTGTGCATTCTGCAGGACCGTGGCTGGAAGATTGAGCTTCAGGACACTTGGAACTCAGCACTGCCCAGCATGCAGCTGCCTGGGAAGGTCCAAATCTTGTCACTGTCGTGTCCTTAGGGGACCTGGGAGGGGTGAGGAAGGACAGGACTCTCAGGAAGATGACTGCTGCCTTCCTTTTTCACAACTGGAGAGTAGTACTGAGAGTTGCAATTCTGCGGAAAAAGGCAGAAGAAGCTCCAGCTCCAGCTGACTTCCCCATTTGCAGAGGAAAATTGCCAACGTGCAAATGTGTAAATGAGGAACAACATTTGAGCACAAGGGCACCAGAGTGGGACTCAGCCCACAGAGGCATGGGGGAGGTGGCAGGGGAAGAAAGGAGAACCAGATGCAGGGACAGGACGAGTCATAGAAAACACTCCTGAGTCTAGTAAAAGATTAAGAAGCTTGAGACAGGGCAGAGTAACAGATTATGGACCAAGGAGACAGGGCAGGTGTCTAAGTGGAACCAAGGCATCAGCAGAACTCCTATGGTCATAGATAACTGACAATGAAAGGTGGGGTTTAGCAATGGTGCCAATCCATCAGCTTGATTTCTGTTGTTTGTTTCTAGGTAAGAAGAAAAGCTGTGGCAGGAAACTGTGCTTCAGACGTGCCCACTCATACCATGATGTCTGGAAAGGGCAAAGGAGGTGCAGAAGGCAGTGCTAATTCCTACATTTCATGCCACATAGACTCTGAGTTTCGCTACAACCTCTTCACTGTTTTCTACAGTATTATCTTCATCCTGGGCTTTGTTGCCAACTGCTATGTTCTCTGGATTTTCACCCGTATTTACCCCACCAAGAAACTCAATGAAATCAAGATATTCATGGTGAACCTAACAGTAGCTGACTTGCTCTTCTTAGTTACGATGCCAATGTGGATTGTTTACTATCACCACCATGGGGACTGGATCATGCCTGAGTTCCTTTGTAATGTGGCTGGCTGTTTATTTTTTGTTAATACCTACTCCTCTGTTGCTTTTCTAATGGTCATCACATACAACCGTTACCAAGCTGTGACTAATCCTATTAAAGCTGCTCAGCTGACCACCCAGAGAAGAGGAATCTACCTATCAGCAGCTATCTGGATCCTAATAGTGGGCAGCTCTTTGTATTACCTTTTTGACAATAATACTAATCAGGAGCAGGTTAACTCCAGGAATTTCACGCGGTGCTTTGAGCGCTATGACTCCTCGAGTGGTGTTTCAGCTGTTCTCGCCATTCATGTCATCATCTGCATCCTCTTCTATATAATTTTCCTTTTAATACTAGGTTGGAACATTGTCATTATCAGGACCTTGTTCTCCAAGTCAGTGCATCCACGGAAGAGCGCTCACGTCAAGCAAAGGGCCCTCTGGATGGTGTGCACAGTGCTGGCTGTGTTCATCATTTGCTTTGTGCCCCATCACATCGTGCACCTGCCCTGGACTCTGACTGTTCTGGAGCAGTGGAAGAAGGAAAACTGTCAGCTGCGCCAACAGCTCAACGATGCTCACCAGGTGACTTTGTGCCTCTTGAGTACGAACTGTGTGTTGGACCCGATCATCTACTGCTTCCTCACCAAGAAGTTCCAGAAGCATCTTTCAGAAAACCTGAAAAGCATGAAAGGGAGTCGCAAATGCTCCAGGCAAACAACAGACACGGTGATTGAGGGCACCATTCACCAAGAGGATGCCATTAGGATGGGTTAGGACCACTCTGTATGTTCTGATTGCACATGGAGAGGTGTGAATTATTCGCTCATCTTGAGTTGTTGACACAACAGAGGACCAGGATTTTACATTTTCTTCTTCCCATTAGACAGAAGAATGGATGTTCATTTTTTCTGTCACATGCAACGGGCAGAACTGGAACCTGCAATAATCTGGCAGCAAAGCTCCTTCTATCCGGGCTGGTGCTCTCATGGGCACTGAGAACAGCTCAGATGTCTGTTTTAACGTGAAAGAAGAGTGTCACTGAGCCTCTGCAGTGAGCAGCTAGAAGCTGAGTGCACCAAAATTACCCATTGAGCCAGTCCAGATAGCATCATCCCTGCTCCTCTGCCTGCCCAGTTCTCACAGTGGATCCAGTATTAGAGCTGTAAGGGACTTCTAAAAGACCTGGAAGAACAGATTGAGCTCTGAGTATCATTGTGTGGCTTTTCTAAGCAGCTTACATGATCCTGTGAAGAGAGTCTGAGCTGATGAAGCTCTTGAGTGGCTGTAAGGGATGTAGTCCACGGAATTCCTCAACTGCTGTCAAATATCTGCACCTCCAATCCCTTCATCCCTTCTTAGTGACTCGTGGTCTGCTGGGATCTAAACTTGATAGATGTCTGGGAGAAGCTATTATGAATCTTTGCTTCCAGATCTTGAGTCAGTAAAGCAGAGAAGGAAAGGAAGAGAAATTTGCTGTGCCTCAGCACACCTCCCCTCTCCCTCCACCAGATCAGCATTATGGCCAAAGGGTACCATGGTCTGCCCTGGCTTCCTGTGTGAGGGCAGAACTGGCCAGCCAGTGGCCTCATGCACTCAATTTAGTAATTTCTGACAGACAGCCAGTCTTGCTCAGAAGGCTCCAGATAACAGAGGGCTACTGTCAGAATGGGCATTATGATAAAGAAAAAAAAAAAAGCTTAAAATGCTTCTGTTTCTTTGTACTTATTTATTTGAATTAGGGTTGTAGCCATTACATTATTCCTTCCTCCAGCTTTTCCAGTTCTGCTGCAAATAATTGAAGCTGTTATAAATGCAATGGCAAAATAGGGTTAATATAAAAAGCGATTTATTATAAAATAATTTTAATCACAAGCAACGAGAGAAAAAACCACAATAAATAGATCAGCGCAGCGCCGGGTGGACAGGGGTCTGTACCCAGAGGTACAGATTTCCCAAATCCACGAAGAAGGGACTGCAGTCCGGGGTTTTTATAAGGATTTTTGTGTCCTGAGGCAAAACCCGGGATGGGCACAGTCTAACAAAGAGTCTAGATGTGTGGGTGAATAGATTTCCTGCAGATGGATATCTCGAAGGGGCAGAGTCCTTTCACATGCGAATGGCTCTGAGTGTCTTCTGATTGCATCTCCCGGGATGGAGTGTCCAGTTTGGGTTCGGAGCAGATGGATATCTCGACCAGGCTACTCTTATTGTCCGGTTTGATTGCCTGTGTCCTGCTCTTTATTTCGTGCAGTCGATCGTTACTGCCCAACTCGGGAAGGAATCTCTGAATTATTTTACATTTTGTATCTTTACAGTATTACAGATATCCTTCACGAATTTTTATCCAATGCTATACTTATCACAAAGCTGACTAGTTCTTGATCTACAGCAAGTGAAGTGTTAGGTCAGGACACTTGACAGACAAATAATTCACACACTCCAACAGCACTGGAGGCCACTGACCCAGGGCCGGATGCAGTCCACTGGGGCCCAGAGAAAAGTGGTTTTCCATGAGTGCTGAGTTCTGTTACCAGTCATGAGACACTTGGGGTTCCTTCTGTGACCCAAATTGCTCAATCTAGCACAGGAAATTGGGCAGGGAAGGGAACTTACTTGTTTTCACAACAGTTGTTGGTTCTCTAAAAGACCTAGTCTGTTGATGACAGGAAGAGTGTATCTGACCTGTGACACCAATTATTCATGTGTAGGGTAGTAGCCTTTCCACACCTGCCCAAGAATGGGAGAGATAAGCTCAAATCTTTCCAAAGACAAGACCAGTATTTGTACTGCTTTGCCTTCTTGACCTGATACAGGTCCTTCAGATGTATCCTCTGAAGCTCCTCAGGCAGCTTTTGTCCTTATTTGTGCCAGTGAGGAAAAGAACTAAGATGTTTATTTTTGTAAGGCCTTTGCCAGGGCCAGCCCTGCTCTCCAGGCCCAGTGCCAGAGGAAAGAGTCTGATCACAATAAGAATGTATCTCCCTCCTACTCCTGGGCTCTGCTCCACAAAAGGCCATCCACAACAAACACTTGCCAGTACCTCATGCTCCTCAGACATGTTCAAAGATGCGCCCTGAATCTGCAGATCCACAGCACGCAGGAAGGGAGAAGTTTCTGTAATTTAAAAGCCTAAATCTGTCTTGCTGGAGGAATCTGCTTTTGTTTCTGCATTGTGGGCATATTCTGGATGAGGAGCTCTCACAGCTGGCAGCGGGGGTCCTGCTTTCCCCCCTTGGCTCCCAGCAATCGCAGAGCTCACAGACCCTAAAGCCCTGATAGATGGAGTTTGGCAACTCTTGGAGGAAATGGAAAGGATTTTTACATGGAAAGCTGGCAGATGCATGATCTACTGATTCTTGGAAAGCTTGCAGAAGTTTACAGTTTAGCTCTTTACCATGGGTACATAACAGGCTTTATTCCACAGCAAGCACTGTGGGCTCAGGGAACAAACATAAACTTGCATCAGAGGAAAAGCAGAGGGAAAAGCCCCAAGGCTACTTCAGGAGATGTTATGCTAATTAATCAGTAAAAATGCATTTCTAACAACCAGGCTAAGCTCCTACTTTCTGTTCCTGGAAATACTTTCTTGTTCTTACCACAATGTTGCATTACTCTGCTTTACCTTGCAATGAAATGGATCCTCAAAAGCTCTTCTAAATAAAATGTGTTCCCCAAGTGTTTTGACTTTTAACTTTTCCCACTTTCTCATCTTTCTGTATTTATACTTGAGGGAAAACCTTGGTACTACATTGGAACAGCTTCAATGCATCTTTTTTTTTAAAAAAAACATTATGTGAACCCTTGGGAGGGGTGAAATTAAAGGCTCAGCAAGGTTCTACCTGCTAAGAGTGAAGGGGAAGAAATAATTTCAGATAGGAAAAACTTTTGAAAAAATCTGCTAGAGCCAGACAAAACCCCTTGAACTCTCTGACCTGCATATGGGAAATTTATACAGACCAATTGTGTGGCTGTGATGTGACAAACCATTTTAATGTACTGTTTTTGCAGGGCTAGGATGTGGTTCTGCAGGAGGTGGGGAGGGGTGCAGGGATGGCTTCTGTGGGAAGCTGTCAGAAGCTTTCCCCATGTCCAACAAAGCCAAAGCCATTTGGCTCCAGGGCAGACCCCAGCCCATCAGTGATGGTGGCAGCACCTTTGGGATAACATAATAAGAAAGGAAAAACTGTTATTGCATAGGGAGCAATTCGCAGCCAAAGAAGAGTGAGAGTATGTGAGAAACAGCCCTGCAGAGCCCAGCCGCGGTGGGGAAGGAGGGCAGGACCTGCTCCAGGTGCTGCTGGGGCTGAGATTCCCTGGAGGAGCCCAGGCCGGAGCAGGGCCATGCCCGAGAAGCTGCGGCCTCTTGGGCAGCCCGTGCTGGAGCAGGGTCCCGGCAGGAACCACGGACCCCTGAGAGAGAAGAGCAGGCTGGAGCAGTTTGCTGACCCGCAGTGGAGCTGCCTGCTCCTGGAAGACTGATCCCGTGAGAAACACCCCACGGTGGAGCGGGTAAAATTCTGAGGAGTCCATCCCTTGAGGGAGGGAGAGAACGTGTGATCCTCATTCCTCACCCCCTGCAATGCTCGGGGGAGGAGGGAGCGAATCGGGAATACAGCCGAGTCCGACAAGCCCGGAGGGATGGGCGATTGAGATGTGGATTTCTCATTACCCTACTCTGATTTCTCTCGCAATAAATATAACATCCGCCAGCCGGCTCATGCTCATGTCTGCCGTACCGGTGCTGGGTGAGAGATCTCTCCTGCCCTGCTCTCGCCTCACCAGCCTTTCGTTGTGTTTTCTCTCCCGGCCCGGCTGAGGAGAGCGGTAACGCAGCGGCTTTGGGGGCAGCCAGCCGGGCTGGCCGGGCCCCGCTCTGTTTAAATACCCCTTGGGACAGTGAGCGGCAGTGGCCGTGAACCGGGCCACACGGCCCAGACCCACTAAGGCAGCTCCGCACGGCACCGGCCCCGGGCCTGGGCCCTCAGCCCTCAGCGGCGGGAACCGAGCCACACGGCCCAGACCCTCAGTCCCGGGAGCCGGGCCACACGGCCCAGACCCTCAGTCCCGGGAACCGGGCCACACGGCCCAGACCCACTAAGGCAGC